AAATTTTCGCCAGTGCTGTGGCGCTGCAATCTTTGGCTATGTCTTGGGCTACTCAAATATTTTACGTTTTTGATACTAAATTAACTTTTGAAGTATAATTTTTTATTGTTTTTATATTTTTCAATATATTTATTTTGTTTGTACAAAATAAAAAAATAATTTTTAACGATACAATAGTCTTCGTTAGGCTTAACATCGACGAAAATTCAACGCGAAGCGACATACAACAGAGAAAAATTTCAACATGGGATAGGTTAATATATTTTTTTGTACATAATCGGTTATCCAAAATATCGATTTACCGAAAAACCCCAGTCCTCCCCAATTGATTTGGATAATCGACGCTCTACTGTATTTTTACTGGTTTTTCAGGTCTGGAACCAGTCTTTCATTTTTCAATGTAAACAATATTTTTTTTACATGGATGTTTTGAGAACATATCTACAGTGCAAAAACAGAATTGGATGTAATTTATTTACTACTATATATACATATATTTGAATATATTTTTTAATAATAATTATTTAACAGTTTACTCCTTTAACAATTAATAGACAGATATATTCAGAATTTTTTAAATATAAAGTATTATATTTTAATAAATATTTACAAATTTTAAATATATTTTATAGCATCACCTCCAAGATTTGTTTCTTTAGAACAAATAATGAAAGCTGCTAATGGTGTTTCAAATATGGTCTTGGCTCATGAAATAGCTGTAAACAAGGATTTTGTTTTAGAAAAAATAACACCAAATGAAGATAGGTTGGTAAAATTTTAATTGCTCTTTTTTTTATTTGTGCTTAAAATTTTATAAGTTATAAATATAATGAAAAAATTTGACTAATTTCACTAAGTATTTGTGACATGGCATGTACATGGCAGTGTATATGTTTGTACTGTTTGAAAATTATTTAAGAGTTATAAAATTAAAAAGCAATTGTAGTTTGCAGGGCCAAGTAAAGAACATTGTACATAAAGCATTTTGGGATGTTTTGCAAAGTCAGTTATTGGAAGTTCCTCCCAATTATTCACAAGCTATGGTACTATTAAAAGATGTTAAGGAAGTAAGTATTACAATCAGGAAAGATAAATAAATCATTTTAAAATTTGTAAAATGAATAAACTAAACTAATTATTACTTATTTACTAATCAACTTTTTGTCAAATATACATATTAATGTTTTTAAACAAGTTTTAATAAGAATATTTATTGTTAAATTCAATATTAATATTAAGTTGTTATTCAAACAATGATAGCATATATTTAATACATTTAAAAAATGTTTAGAAAACTAATAATATAAATGAAATTATATATCATAGAATTATAAAATTATATAATTTTATAATAAACTATTGAGAATCCTATGTTTAGAATGGTAAATTTTATTAACACAATATCCAAAAAATTGGAGAAACAGGTAACAAAAAGATCTTTCTTAATTCTAGCAGACCAGTTTAATGATAAAAATTAGATTGATATATCTTCATCAATTGCTACAAGAATAGAATGAGAATTAGAAAAAACAATTACAAAATTTAAGATTTGACTAAAGAGAACATGTACTGTTTAGTGTGTGCTCATGCAAAGCCAAATTCAATGTTAAATTCATATTTGGGTTACAAGAAAATAGAATAAAATAAAATAATGAAACTATAAACATTAGATAAAATTTAAAAAACAAAATTGTGATAGTGTGTTAGACATCATGTTTTAGTTCGTATAACAACAATATTGATGTGACATTGTACAAGAAATTGAACAATGCTGCATCAATGATCTCATCTCGATGTCTGTTCATTGCATTTGTTTATGACACAGTTGCCCATCTGTATTCCATTGATTAAAAAGATTATATTTAGAAAAAGCTATAAACAACCATCATTGTAAATACACACTCTTGCATCATTAGAGGATAATCTATTATTACGTGATCCTGAACTCTTGTTGGATATCAATAGATGTGTCATCATTCTAGAAGGAAATACCACTGATTCTTTAAAGAACAAGTATGTCAAAAAACTTCAGTAAAATGTATATTCCATGCAAAGAACATAAAGAAAAATATAACTCCCATTCCTCATCTAATTACCTGAGACAGCATACAACTGACACAGCAATACAACTGCAACACCTTGATAATGATTAAGATGTTGCAGTTTGGTTTGAAATATGCACATATGTGAACAGATTGAATGAATATACAGTGTTACTGACACTGAATGCTTTCAAGCCTAACATAACTTTCTTTTCTTTACAACTTAGGGTCAAAAGTCTTGTCATATTTATTACATATGCAACAGTTAGTTGTCCCTTCATCTAAGATACCATGACTATTTGCCTTTTCCAAGGCCCATAAATCTGACACACATATAAGGTCTGTCATTGAAAAATGTTTTTTGTCCATCTTCTTGTTAGAAAAAACAGCTTATCAAGTTCATTAATTCTAAATCAATACAACATCAATCCACCACAAACAGTCAGGTAGAACAGTTACAAACTGTGATTTTATTTGACGATGAATGCATGACAGTGATGGACTTTCAGACACTATTTCCTTCTATCAAATTTCTGAGTTTTTATGAGCTTAGGGATTTCCTACAAAACAATATTATTTTATCACAAACATCATTTTCATATATTGGGACTTCCACATTTGGTATTTTATTCCTCCTCCTTTACAGATGATGATAAGATCTTTATGCAAAACAAAGGAGTACCCATGGGCATTTCAACTTCCAATTTTTTATGTAAATGAACTAAATTCTTTATAACTAAAAGATGACAGTTTTTATTTATAGTTAATTTTTTATTTATAACAATTATTTTGTGAGCAGTAATTTTTATTGTAATTGTTTATAAATGTGGTATGTATTGTATTATTAAGGAAATTGTTTAAGAAATACTTAGTAACAAAAATATTACTCATCATAAGTCTAATGAAATTTAATAATTGATCAATTATATATTTATAACAAACTTGTAATTACCAGATAAATTTTAAATAAAAATCTTTTGCTATAGCCATAATTTCAAATATTTTTTTTTTCAGGGTCTGTTATCACTGTTACTTCCTCATCATACAAGAATTAAGACACAGATTTGTGAAGTTTTGGACATTGATTTGATTCAACAACAAGTTGAGCATGATGCTCTTGATTTCCAACATTATGCACAATATGTTTTATCCATAATGTCTAGCTTGTGTGCTCCTGTAAGAGATGCAAGAATTAGAGAACTGATGACAGTCATTGAAATTTTGCCACTTTTCAAGTAACTATGTATTTACAAATTATAACAATATATAATGTTTATAAAAAAATATAAATTTTCGATATTGTAATTTATGATTTGTTTAGCTCTTATATAAAATAATAAATCTATAGTAAAAGTCAAACATGGAAATATTTAGATGAATGAAAAATCTTTCAGGTTTTGATTCAGAAATAATTATCATATTTTGTAATAAAGCATTTTATAATAAATGCTCTATGACAAAATATGATAATCTATGAACTTATTTCAACTTTGGAATAGTAAATATTTTTGATAAAAAATTTAAACACAAACACAAAACAACTTCCAACAACTTAACACTTCGTTGAATAATAATAATCCATGAAAACCTTTCTGTACAAGTGTTATATTCTTAACTACTCTACAAACGCTTTCAACCTCCACGAGGTCTGCTTCAGGTGGTGACTGACTGACTGTTTCTTCCTGACCGTCGCCAGAGATGTAAATAATCGTGTGCGTCGGGTTTCACCCCTCTGACTGTCCCTGTTCCAGACTTCCGGAATACCAGATTAATTAGACAAGCGTTCCAAACCGATCACATCTGACACCTGGAGACCTGGGAGATTCATAAAGCTAACTGTCGGGGCACCTGCATCAACAACAAAGATGGCGAAACGATCATGCAGGGGTGGAAGTATTTGTTCGAGGAATTCGAACAGGGACAGTTGGAGGGGTGAAACCTGATGCACACGATTATTTACATCTCTGGTGACATCATTATGACAGTCAGGAAGAAACACGGTCAGTCACCACCTGAAGCAGACCTCGGTGGAGGTCGAAAGCATTTGTGGAGTAGTTAAGAACATAACACCTGTACAGAAAAGTTTTCATGGATTATTTTTGAACACAAAGATTAACAACAAAAATTTGCTCAATTTGTTTTAAAAATATCAATAAAAATTAATGATTCCATTTACAATATTTTACTCTGATAAGAAAACACAGTAGTCTTAGTCTGTCACTCACCAGTCCAACATGTCCAGTAATCTAACACTTTGCACAAATTAAATTTGCATGTTACTACATGATGTATGCAACAGAGAGAGACTGATTTACATGTATACTGTCAGTTGTTGGTTGTTTTTGTAGGTGTGGTCTGCAAAACAATCATAATTATGATTAATGTGATAAACCTGTGAACCAAGTGTGTTTTTTACTGTACAGTATGTATCTATACATACATACAAAATCCAGTATCTGACACTTAGCAGTCTGATTTATGTCAAATTACAGAGATTCTACTGTATAAAAAAATTCAATTGAACAATTAAATATTTTTGATAAGAGAGAACACACTCAACTAAAACAAGAAAGTTGAAAATTTGATTTTATACTTTGTAACTGTTGGCCAAGTTTTAAATTTTTATTCAAATGAATTATATTGTGATTTTTGACAAAAATTACCAGAAGACACTGTTTCCAATTTGCATTTTATAAAAGGTTGTCTTCATACATGAAAATTGTTTTGGACTGTCACTACTGTGTTGAAACAATGGGAAAAAAAATGAAAACAGAGTATTCTTTTGTATATTCATGAAATTTTTATATTTTTTAAAATGTAAACACTGTCAGCCAAGTTTTAAATTTATACTCTATTTTGAAATTTAGCAATTACCATAATACTGTACAACATATAAAATGCAACTTTTGAAAAAAGTTGTATTTTATATGTTGTATAGTATGGTAATTTTGTCCAAAAAAGGCTTAAAAATTTCCCTGTATCTTATATGTGAAATTGTAATCTCCCATAGGCTAATGAATTCACCAAAAGGTCTTCAATAGCTTGCATGATGATAAAAATGTTGTTGTTTAATTACACATTTATTTTTATTAGTTATGCTAATAAAAGTAGTAACTTTTTTTTTCATAGTTAAGCAGCTTTTGCATGTATTTATGTTGAATATTATAACAGTAAATTTTAATTGTGAATGACTTCTTTTAAACTCCTTTTTTCTCTGATAAATAAGAGTGTATTCGAATACAGTAGAAGAATACAGTAAAAGAAATTCAGGACTGAGTGCCAAAACTGCAGTATGGTTTAAATACACAAAATACTTTTTCTAAATATTCTGTGCTGAAATGTTCTATAAGCTGTAAAATACAATACATATTTTTATCTATTCAATCTATTGAATCTTAGATTTTTTATTCTTAATTTTTATTTGTAAATATTCTTATAGAAATGTTTAGAAAATATTTAAATAATTTTTTGTAAGAAACTTTTATATTGTAGTACTTAAATTGTATGTTAAGTAATGCTTGGAGTGCTTATGCTAGACTAAACTGGTCTGAAAATATTCCTAAAAGAATTCATTCTTTTAGGAATATAATTGTTAAGGTAACTAATACCTTAACTTTTTAACCAGTTATTGTGTTGATATTTTAATGTGTAAGGAATCTAAAAAAGTGTATTAATGCAAACAAAAGATATTTAAAATTACCTTTCATTTTCTAATAATATAATACTAAATAAATAAAAGATATATTCAAAATTTCCAGGAATAGGTCAAAAATTAAAACATGTTAGGATATAGAAATTTATTTAATATTTTTCAAAATAATCATTCTGAACTTCAATATGCTTCTTCCAGCAATTTTATCAATTCAAGAAACATTTGGAAAAATTAATTTTCCTCAGGGATTGAAATTAGATTTTCTTTGATTCATCTTGTTTGAGTTCTGTTGACTCAAATCATTTTCCTTTTTAAAGATTTTTTAACTTTAGATAAAGAAAAATGTCATTAGAAGTTACAGCAAATTGCTATAATGAATTGTATTGTATTTTAATAATTTTTGTGTTTTTTTTTCTTTTTTATTCATTTCTGGAACATTTTGTATATCTGTCTTATCTTAGATAAATTTACAATTAAGAAAACTTAGAAATAACTTGATAAGGCCAATCCATTTTGTATAATTATTAAAAACTTAAATAAAGTTTAATATTTTGCTTATGAACCTAAATTATATGCTTTTAGAAGTAAAAATAGAAGGAAAAGTATAAATTAATTACATAGGTTCTATTAATTCAACACTGATCAATTACATGATCAGTGTTGAATTAATAGAACCTATGTAATTAATTTATACTTTTCCTTCTATTTTTACTTCTAAAAGCATATAATTTAGGTTCATAAGCAAAATATTAAACTTTATTTAAGTTTTTAATAATTATACAAAATGGATTGGCCTTATCAAGTTATTTCTAAGTTTTCTTAATTGTAAATTTATCTAAGATAAGACAGATATACAAAATGTTCCAGAAATGAATAAAAAAGAAAAAAAAACACAAAAATTATTAAAATACAATACAATTCATTATAGCAATTTGCTGTAACTTCTAATGACATTTTTCTTTATCTAAAGTTAAAAAATCTTTAAAAAGGAAAATGATTTGAGTCAACAGAACTCAAACAAGATGAATCAAAGAAAATCTAATTTCAATCCCTGAGGAAAATTAATTTTTCCAAATGTTTCTTGAATTGATAAAATTGCTGGAAGAAGCATATTGAAGTTCAGAATGATTATTTTGAAAAATATTAAATAAATTTCTATATCCTAACATGTTTTAATTTTTGACCTATTCCTGGAAATTTTGAATATATCTTTTATTTATTTAGTATTATATTATTAGAAAATGAAAGGTAATTTTAAATATCTTTTGTTTGCATTAATACACTTTTTTAGATTCCTTACACATTAAAATATCAACACAATAACTGGTTAAAAAGTTAAGGTATTAGTTACCTTAACAATTATATTCCTAAAAGAATGAATTCTTTTAGGAATATTTTCAGACCAGTTTAGTCTAGCATAAGCACTCCAAGCATTACTTAACATACAATTTAAGTACTACAATATAAAAGTTTCTTACAAAAAATTATTTAAATATTTTCTAAACATTTCTATAAGAATATTTACAAATAAAAATTAAGAATAAAAAATCTAAGATTCAATAGATTGAATAGATAAAAATATGTATTGTATTTTACAGCTTATAGAACATTTCAGCACAGAATATTTAGAAAAAGTATTTTGTGTATTTAAACCATACTGCAGTTTTGGCACTCAGTCCTGAATTTCTTTTACTGTATTCTTCTACTGTATTCGAATACACTCTTATTTATCAGAGAAAAAAGGAGTTTAAAAGAAGTCATTCACAATTAAAATTTACTGTTATAATATTCAACATAAATACATGCAAAAGCTGCTTAACTATGAAAAAAAAAGTTACTACTTTTATTAGCATAACTAATAAAAATAAATGTGTAATTAAACAACAACATTTTTATCATCATGCAAGCTATTGAAGACCTTTTGGTGAATTCATTAGCCTATGGGAGATTACAATTTCACATATAAGATACAGGGAAATTTTTAAGCCTTTTTTGGACAAAATTACCATACTATACAACATATAAAATACAACTTTTTTCAAAAGTTGCATTTTATATGTTGTACAGTATTATGGTAATTGCTAAANGTTTTTTTTAGTTTTAAGTATTTTTAATGTTTAATTACATTTATATCAAAAATTGCTAGGAACTAAAGCGATTAAGGTAGATCTAGCTGTCCTTTACATCCATAAAGGTTATATGTCAGTGGAACAAATGGAGTGAGCTTTGAGCGTCCCACGATTTTTGGAGACTGTCTATACGCGGGCTTCCTAAACAAGCATATATGTATGTTTGTCCAAAAAAATTTTGGATGAAATACAAACCGCACAACTTCAAAATCGCTTAAAAAAAATCCGCATAAAACGAGACCTTACAGTATTAAACTGCCTAATTCTAGTATCAAACAGACTTTTATTAAGTAAAAAATGTTTTTGGTTTTGTATTGAGCCATTTTCATTTTATGTATAAAAAATTGAATGAGTTTTAAAACAACATTTAAATTATTTTGGGAACACTACTGATCGTATATTTATGAAATTAAATGTATAATGCCAGTAAAGGAACAGTTTTAAAATAATATATAAAAATATATGTATAAATGTTTTAAATGATAAAATAGAATAAAAAATATAAAACTGTTAAAAATGTAATTAGATTGGTCAATATAGTCCACAAAGACATTACTCTTATTATTTAGCACAACAAATAAAGTTATATTTTAAATAAATATCTGAATTTAAGGTGTTGAATTACTATAGAGTAAGAATTTCTGGCATTTAAAAATCAAAATATGCTTATCTCAAAGAACAAGTGACTTGATGTAAGGTCCCATTGGGATAATGAGGAAAGATTATGCAACTGAGATATAGAGGTTAGATTCTTTCTTTTAGACATATTTCTGAAATATATCTAAAATGATTTGTAATAGCAAGTTTTAATTTGTTTTTTACATATAGATTAAATCTATTTGCTTAAAATATGTAACTTTATTTTATTTTGGTTATCTGAAAAAATTGTTATTTATATTTGCAGAGGTATTATTGAAATGTTAGATTTAATGAAATTGGACATGGCAAATTTCACAATTCAGCAGATTCGACCTCATATTCAGCAGCAATCTATCGAATATGAACGCAAAAAATTTCAAGAATTTTTGGAAACTCATGCAGGTATTTTAATGCATGTTCAATTAATTATTTAAAGTTTTAAATGATGTTTTAACTATTGAAAGTCGACATCCTTTGTGATTGAGTATCAATTTTAATTGTAATATTTTAAAACTTGACTGTTGAGCCCTGCTGAGCCAACACCATTTAGCCTTTTTTTTAATGTGAGAGGGTGACATCTGGAGAAGGGTTATGGATCAACCTAAGATGGGATCTAACTATCATAAGGGGGTGTACTGTACTGTACATGTATACTACTGTGTAGTCTGTTGTTAGTAGCTGTCTTAGCAAGACATAATTTTGTGACCTTTGTTATTTTTTTTATTATTGTTAAATTTTATTTGGTGTTATTGTTATATCTAAAATGATCATAGAATCCTTTATTAATATATAAATAACAATTTATATTACAAAAATTTTATTAATGCACAATAAATGAAATAATTATAAAATCAGTTTTCAATATGTGAATAATAATAATACTAAAAAGTTATAAGCTAGAACTTTGAAACACTTTATTGTATTTTATACATTTGATAGTTAACTGCTCTTATCCATATATTTACTGATGATTTATAAATAAATCTAAATTAATTATAATTTAATATTTAAATCAAAATTAGTGAAATTTTATTCTCAGAAGTTTGTATATGTATGTCCTGAATACAAAAAAAATGTATACTAATTTACAGACAATGAAATAACATTTTCTTCAAATAGAACAATTAATAGAATTACAGTAGACCCCCTATAATGTGTAGATACATTCCATGTTATACGAATTTCACGTTGTAGGAATCCTTAAATACATGAGCCAATCGCAGCCCGACACATGTGAAGTTTATGGACTACGGCTGTTTGAAAGGTTTTCTTCCATAAAATTAATCAATTCTAGACTAATTCGACTCAACATTTCCAAAACACGTATAATTTTTTGGGAATAATCCGTATAAACTATGCTATAAACAAAAAATTGTAGGATTACTTACCGAGTGTGCACCGTTCGACGTCGCCCTTGCTTAAGCTTGTTTTCGTCGTCGAGGAGCAGCGCACCAAATGGCAGCCGCGATTTCTGATAAGTTATTTTTCTGTGAAAAATTCATTGATCTTTGGAGACATCATTAATATAAATAATTTTAATGGCCGTTGAATAAGAAATGTTTCTTTCACAAGAAATGTATAAAATTACAGTACTGTATTAGACTCGNGACAATTCTGACACGAACGAAGCCATTTAATTATTCGCGCGTTCTTCTCGATAATTGATGTTTCTAATTTATTAAATTTATTAAACAAATTACTGTTTAGGGTATTGTACGTTTTATCATGAAGAGGATCTGATTCTGTACTGGATTCATCCTTTAAATCTGTCATACGCGCAAAAGACGAGCATATGGTCTTTGAATCCGAAGCATTTGTCTGATTGCAATCTCGTCTTTCTTGAATTCTTATACAAGGAATCACTTCTTGTTTGGATTTTGAAAGATTTGGTAAACTTCTGTGATACAGTTCTAAATTTCTAGAGAATAAACCAAAGTATTTCAAGTCGCAACAACAGTATGGATCTAATAGTATGGAGGTTGAAGACGAATTCTTGTGAGCACTTTCGGTATCGATGGATCTACAACTTCGAAGCTTATTTTTTTCTAAATTTCGTTTTAATCTCTGAACGCACGTGTCCAAATGTGGTCTCGTTGTTATTTGTAAATGTCTAGTCCACTCGAGTTTCTGATCGTTGTCCAAAACTGATTCGGACTTCACGTAATCCGCTTTGCTTATCTGTAGACGTTCGACAGCGCTTTTCGTCTCTAAAAATAATTTTTAAAATATATTAAAATTGTTTGAATTAAAATGCGCTCGATTTAATTCCAAAATTTAAAAAGAAAGTACGAAGAAATTTCTGTTATTTTATGCAAGCATGACGACGTCGCGGCACGCCGCGACGTCATGCTAGCATAAAATTGAATAAAACAATTTTAGTTGATTTAAAGCAGTCAAAATTTAGAGTAAAATGTGTACTCAAGAAATTTATTTTTTCGAAAAAATTAAATTATTTATTATAAATCAATGCGCGAACGTTTATAAAATAATGCTCATACCTCGCATTATTTTATAACTAATGGAGATTAAATATATTCTTAAATACTGTAATTGATAATTTTCCAAATAATGAAAGTTGTTTCCGAAAAGTAATTGAGACGTTTAAATTCATTTAAATTATTATTTTAAAGAATAAACACCGTACGGAACGTCGCGCTTCAGTTGCGAAGCAACAGACGCGCCGTTATAATGAGATGTGATGAAGCGGAAACGGTAGGTAGAATTTATGCAATATTTTGCACCCCGAAGCTATATAAAAATCGGGAATCCCCTTACAAACTGTGACATCTGTAAACGCTACCTCCTACTGACTCTAGTGAAAACATTCATAGACTCAGCAAGTGAAGGCAGGTGTTTAAACAGATGGTTCAAACACCAACAATAAACCGCATATGTATAAAGATATCAAAAGAAACATCTGCAACTTCTACCAAGTTTAATAAATTGACTAAGAAACCTTATAAATTATTTGTAAAATAATTTTGCAGATATCAAAGAATCAAAAATTAAAATTTTGTATAAAGTAACAAATTGGTAAAATAAAGTTGCATAGTTAATGACCACTAGTCAATGTCCAAAAGCAGTCAAATTCCAAAAATTCTATTTAAATTTAATTAACTTATGATGTTTCACAAGAGTTATGAATTACAACGTTTAAAATATTTACAATGTACACACAAACACAAACAAACAAACAAACACACACAAACAAACAAACAAAATAAATTTGAGTTCAAATAGTCTATTAATCCTGAATAGGTCCATAGAAAAGAGATCTTACAATGCAATCCCTGAGATGTAGCTGGACGTAAGCTCCTTCCAGCATTGTAGAAGAAACAGCGAGATGAATGCAACCTTGCCTTGAGCCTAAAATTAAACAACCTTCTTAACTGGAATTCTGTTGACCAACTCAACTTTCAATGTGAAGTTTTAAGCCAAGCTTAAATTGAACTTAACTTTCCCACCTAAACTTCAACCTTTTAAATGGATTGACAGTGCTGATTGATTGATCAATCAGCGTTTTGTAACTCTGTTGGAGGTCTGCATGTGGTCAAATGATCGGCGGCCAATCAACAACCACTCATTCAAAACCAATGGTCACTTCTCCAACCAACTTTTGTGGCATTGACCATTACTCGCTTGAAATAGAGAAAAAGGTGGGAATTGTGTTTCTGCACAATTCTACCTGACATCACTTAACACAAATGAAGCACAAACTTCTTCTAAAAGTCTACAAAGAAAAGCCAGAAATGATGTAATTGAGTAATATAATACAAATTGGTCATAATTAAACTGACACTATTTAAAGCCTTGTGTACAGTACCTCAATCTGACAACTGGTATAATACCAAATTTGGTTGGGAAATGAATGAAGATATGGGAAGACAGGATTCTGCAAAAACATTGTAGTTTTAAAAGTTGTCAATAGGGAAAATGTGGCACTGTACAGTGTAAAAAGTATTACAATAGACAGATAAATGAATAGCAAAGATAAAAGTGAACTGAAATACCTTTTATTCAGCAGACTTGCTTCCATGAAGAATTGGACCAGTTTCAATAAGGCCACCATTCTGATGGTCCAGGAATTGCATAGTATACATAACATTCTTTACAGCTGAACATAACATGTCTGATAGAATGAATGTTCATTGCAGCCTTGTTGATCACAGATATGTTGTCCTTTAAGATAGTCAAATTTGGGATCCTGCCAAGATAGACCTTAGACCTTAACTCCAGAACCAAAAGTCATGTGGAGTTAGATCTGGGGAGCAAGACTACCATGCCATCAAAAAGAACCATCTGATGACTCTTTCATTTGTGGAGTCATGCTACAGAAGTTGCTGTATCAATTGAGCAATGTGTGATAGTATTCCATCTTGCATAAAAATTATCTTGTCCAAACATCGTCTTTGCTAAAGTTATGGAATGATAGAGCTGTTTAGCATAGCATGATATTTCTGTGCAGTAACAGAACAGATTACTGGTCCTGTCAGTATAATGTCTTCAAAAAAGAAAAACCCTATGATGAAATCTGTGAAGCCATATCAATAGCATTCTGACATTTTCCCATTCCTTTATAACCAGAATTACTGAAGCTTCACAGCCTACATTGCCATGAATTTTTATTAAAGGCTTTTGCCAGCATATTATGCAAATTCTTCAATCTGTAGACTGCAACAGTGCCAAATTTTCTCCTCTGAGCAACTTTCTATAATTTTTTTAAGGAATCTTTTTTTTTTTTTTTTTTTTTGTTTTTATTAGTTTCCCCATCAAATTTGGTATCAATTTGATTGTTAGATTGAACTACACAATGCTTTAAATCAGGGCTGTGGAGTCGGAGTCGTGGAGTTTTGATGTTTTAGTCGGGAGTCATCAAAAAATCCGCCGACTCCGACTCCTTTTTACTTACCAACTTGTTATGTATATACAACGGAAAAGTATTGAAATCATGTCAAATTTGACTTCCCATTTTTTTTTTGCAAATCTACACGTTTGGAGATCTCCCGAACCCCCCAAAAAAGTCAATAAAAGAGGAAAAGTTCGCGCATGTGTGTGTGTTGGCGTCTAATTTGTTTAATTTCTTTATTTTCTGTTCTCAGATATTAAACAATATCTCAGAACGGGTAAAGTTTAAGAAATGAAATGTGGCGCTATAGCTCGCGTATAAAGGGGCATTAATACTATTAAATTTTGGTTCTTAATTAAAGTCGACAGGGTGAAGACATAAAAGTGGTCACGTGTCAAATCTCTTAATGAATATTTTACTCTTTATTAGCGTTCAAAATTTAAAAAAATAAAATAAAACTCATCTTTACTCTCAAAGTAAGCTTTTTTGCCATTTTATAATAGTACAGTAAAACCCATTAAGATGTTCTCGCTTAAGACGTTAGAATGTATATGGGGACACGATTTAGTTCAACTACTTTGACTTAAATAATTAACTCCTGTGTTAAACCATCTGACTCTGATTCTGACCACTCTGACCACAGAAGTTATTAGGCTTCAAACAGGGTGAACGAAATCATGCCCCCTCCGCACACAGTCTAACATCCACACATATAGAAAAAAACCTCGAATCTTTTGCATATTTCAAAATTTCAAGGTGTCCTGAGTCCAAAAATGTAAAAATTTGGGAGGGGTAATTTTTTGACCGAGCGCCACACTTTTCTCTGTTATATATAACAGCCGGAAAAGTAAAAATTATCAAATACATATTTATATATTACTTAGAGAAGTCTTTTAGCTTTGGAATAAAAAGTTTCTACGTTCTTATCTTTATTAGNTGACCGAGCGCTACACTTTCCCTCTGTTATATATAACAGCTGGAAAAGTAAAAATTATAGAATACATATTTATATATTACTTAGAGAAGTCTTTTAGCTTTGGAATAAAAAGTTTCTACGCTCTATTTTTATTACAACTCTATTTATTGAATATTTTATTCTGAGGTCACATGATGACATCAGAATTTCTGGGTCTCTTTCGGTAACAAGTCTGCTCCTAGTTGGAGTCAGAGTTGGAGTCGATAGATTTTACGCGACTCCACAGCCCTGCTTTAAATAGTATCAGTTTAATTATGACCACCCTGTATATGCAGAGTTTATGCCACCTTTCAAAATATAAACAAGCAAAGAATATCTTCCAAATAATACACTAGTCACTAAAAATCATATTTTTAATCTCTCAACAATGGCTGCTGCCCTTAAAATGATGTGCAGAAAATAAATCTATGTACAGAAATGATTATTATTAATAAGATGGCTAGTTTTGCTACCAGCTTTTCACATGGTAAACTTGGATCTAAATATTAAAAAAGAAATGAATTTTTCTTAAAGTCAAGTTTAATATTTCAGACAATGGCAAAAACTTTTGTACAGAAGTTCTTGTAAAATGTATAGAGAATTCCTAAAAAACAGACAGTAATATTTTATTGTAGTATATGATTTATTTTAGAGCTCACATACTGTTCCTTTTTATATTTTAACATGAGTTCACTAAAAATTGCAAAAATAAAAAAAAAGAGTTTTGAGAAATTTAATTGATTACTTAGATTGCTTATCTTATGTTATTACAGAAAATTTCTTATAAGAAGGAGAAATTTGTTAATGAAGGAAAATGTAATTTTTTATTGAATATCATAATGATTTCATCTGTTTTTTTATAAAATGAATATTTTATTCTTTATAAATTAATAATAATATATATTTATAGAATTGGCTGACAATGTGGATGGTTTAGAATGTACCAGAGAATGGCTTAAACGTAATTATAAAAAAGTTATGGATGCATCAAAAGATCTCCCTAATAATGAAGAACAAGCTCCATCCTATACAAAAATATTAACATCATCCTATTTAGAACTTCTGGAATGGGATGATAAAAATTTGTTTCCTGAAGTAAATATTTTTCTTTTTCATCTTTCTTTTAAGTATTTTTATAGATTTGTCAAGTAAGAATTATCATTTTTCAGACTCTTCTTATTGATCAAGCTCGATTTTTAGTTTTGAGAGACCAAGTCTATCAATCAACTTTAATTGCAAGCATTTTACTTATTACTTACAATACTGCTGGGGAGCGAATTTATGAAATATCTGATTTTAAAGAGACCTTAAAAAACCACTTAGCTATTTTATTGGAAGGAATTGAAAAATGCAGGTATGTTTTAATGAATTATTGATAAATTAATCAAAAATTTACTAATTAATGATAAACTAATCAAACATAATTTATTAATAATTAAATTAATTACTGATAAATTAGTCTTCTTTGATTGTCATAAAAAGATTTTAGAACTGGTTTTTAAAAGTTGTGAGAATAAAAATTTATTTTAATATTAATTCAAATGAAATGCTCAGTTTTTCACTCAGGTGGAAGAGACTGAAGCTAGCTTATACTATTTCCTCTTAAGTATCGGTATAAAACTAAAAAATTTTCTATAAATAAAATTGATTAGAAATTATAAGAAAACACACTTTTTAAGTATAGTTGTAATATTTAAAAGTGTCAACTTTAAATTATTAAACATGCACAACAAATCTTGTATCAAGTTAGTCACCCAAAAAACTTTAGATTATTATTATTATTAATTATTGTGTTTTGTGGGGTGTTTCCTACATGGCATATATACCTGGTACTGGTGCTTAGTGCTATTCCAGACCAAAGTCAAGGCATAACTGCAGGAAAGAAGATTTATTTGTTATTCATGTATGTACTGTACATGTTTAAGAATTTCCTAACTATATGACAAGTATTTAGTAAGACAGCCTACTGTAGTATGATGTATGTGCTGTTGTGAAACTGTAATATTTCAACACTTTTTGTGTATGTATATGGTACATCATCTATGCAAGAAAAGAATATTGGCACAATAAGTACATTATCCATTCTCTACAGATGCTTTATTATATGGGCAAGTTCTGAGTATTTACTAATTTTTGAGTGTATGTATTTTATATGTTGTGAGTATTTGTAAGAGCTATGTTTGTGGAGCTTTTGTATTTGTGTGCAAACTTTTGATGTACAGTGGAACCTCTGTTAACGAACTTAATTTGTTCCACAACTCTGTTCATTAACCAAATTGTTCGTTAATTGAAGCAATTTTTCCCGCAGAAATTAATTCAAATACAATTTATCCATTCTATTCTCCAAAATTTTGTAATTTTATTTGCAAAATGATTTTCTTTGATGAAAATATAGTAGCTATCATTACAGCAACAAACTTGTAAACTTTATTTAATAAAATAGCACTGTACATATTTTTGTTTGTTGTAGTTGGTGACAGAGGAGTGGAGATGTATGGAGCTTAATACTTAGAAGGGAAATCCCACCAAAAAAATTAATAGGTAGCACTTCATCAGGAGATTCTTCAAGTCAAGGTCTCTTTTGGTAAGGAACAGGAAATTGATCTAAAGTTGATTGTCTTATCTTTTAATCAAAATTTTTCTCAAATGCGATGGCGCATTGTCATTTTCTATTGCCACTCTCACTTTTCTCTTTCTTGGGTGACATATTGATTAAATATATAAATCACAAAACTGAAAAAAAGAAGTTTAGCACAAACACTTGGAAAAGCAATGTTTAACTCACACATGCCAAACAGCAACTAAAATTTCACACAAAAACCATTATGCTCATTACCCAAATTTCTTTCATTATCCGAGACAAAACTTTTGCAAAATAAAAGTTCATTAACTGATTTGGTCATTAACCAGGGTGTTCATTAATCGAGGTTCCACTGTACTATATTTGTTATTTAGTTATGTTGATGGAAGTAGTCAGTTTGGATTAAAAGCTTATAACCTAATAGTGATGTCATAGTCTTGTGCATTATGTAGGATTTCCTACAGGTGTCATCTCTGAATGTTATCTTAAGATGTGATTTCTGTAGTTTCTTGTATTTATAACCTTCTCTTGTTTGACAGTCATGAATCTTTGTCTCACAAAAGAGGCACCCATGAGTCAGCCAGCAGTTTGATGTAGTCTTGTCAACATGAACTTGGCTGAAATCTTTTTGATGCCTACCTGGAGCTCCTGGGCCCAAGGACTGCCTAATGGTGTTTGTGCATTTTGTATATTTTGTTAGATCCAAGCCAATATTGTGTAAGTTTAATAGGGTACTGTTTTTTTCTGTAAGAGTTAAAGTTTTGTGTAACCATGTTTCTTGTTTTCTGTAGAAAGATCTTGCATATATATTTATTTTTAGTACAGGTTCAAAATATGTCAGCCTTTCTATGGATCATGTAGGATGGTGTTATGGTGTTTGTTGTGATTTGTTATATAATTCAAGTTTTCCTGTAATTCTGGAGTTGTTCCAGCTCTGTATCCAATGTATTATATTGATAATTCCAAAAGAAAATGTCAAAACTGGGACAAGATGTGCTGATTGCTTTAAATGTGTGTTTTGCATTCAGTTGAGTTACTATTGAGTTCTTTTGTTAGTCTTTGTTTTATTTGTGCATGTTGTGTGAGTTTGCCTTGTTGAAATACTAAATATTTGTAGAGTTTATCCTCATTCGTGGATTCAATGATGTCTCCATTTCTGAGTGCAGAATCATCATTTTTACAGATCTTTTTATTGTGTGAAATTTACTGCAAATTGGATTTAAGGCAAGGCATTTTCCATGGAGACTCATGTGTATTTAGTTTGTTTTAATGTATATGTTGTGGAGTCTGAGGTATAGTGTTACATTCTGTTTTATAAAAATGTAGAGAGTGCTGGATATACAGTTGAACCTGTTTATCTTGAAATTTATTTTTTTCCCTGCATTTTCAGTCTAAATTCAATATATTTTCTATGTTTATCCCAAGTAATTTTCTATCAAAACCTCTATATCTCAAATTGTGCACTGAAGTAGCATTTAAAAATTTGAAGCTCAGTGACTTTTTGATAGCATAAATTGTAGTTGTAATATCTCTTGTAATAAAGTACATAGTTGCAATTAATACTGTTTTTTTTTTTTTTTTCTGATCAGTCACAAGTTTGGTTTGGTTTATTTGTTTACAGCAACATGATAAATGGGCAATATGCCAGGGGATAATTCCTTCCGGGAGGATTTTCTATCAGAAACTGGCACCTATTTTGATGTTACAAACATGAATAAAATCTGGAAAACTCCATGTGGCAAGTCTGTTGGCCAGGTGCAAATCCATGACCAATTACCAATGTTCAGTGGTTTTATCCAATTGGCCAATGGTGGGCTAAGGCTACAACTTAGGCTTGTCTTATTGGTTGAAGAAAGTTGGGCATTAGAAACTATTGACAAAAGTGTTTTATTTATACATAATACAGATATGTACTGTACTTGCTATTGTATTAATAAAACACCATAGCTTTAATCAAACCTGTTATTGTTTACTGTGTAGGAACCATTATATCTCAAAACCTGTCTATCTCAGATCCTTTTCTTGTTTCTGTGAGATTGAGATACAGTTTCAACTATACTTTGTTTAGGTATAGTGTGTGCAATAACCATGAGTGTGAGATACTGTTAGCATGCATGGATTATAGAAAGGCATTTATTGTGTAGGTTTCTGTATTGTTTTTATGTTTATCATAAAATTACTGAATCTATGAGCCTTTGAACTGTTCTTTGCATCCCATGTTTCTATGACAATCTTTTGGTTCTTCTGTGAGAATGTTGTGTTGCTGTATTTGGTGGCATATTTTTCTTGTGATGCATGAAGTGAATATTTTGTAGAATGCAGAAACACAGAGCCAAAATCCTTACATAAAGCATAATATAACATGAAAACCAATAACACCACCACCAGATACCTCACGCAATACAGACCAACTATATATGTCATCCAATTAATCTGTATTGTGTGAGGTATCTGGTTGTGGTGTTATTAGGCTTCATATTATATGATGCACTGTGTAAGGAATTTTGGACATATGGACTGTTTGTGTGTAAAATGTTTGGCTAGTTCCTGGTGCAGAGATGCATATTATTATGTTGGGTTTAGTGGGTTATACTCAGTTGACACCGGTGGCTGTGTACTATGCCGGACCAGAGTGAAGTCATAGCAACCAAAAACAAAAATTAAATAAGTGTGTCAGTGTCTGTATTCAGGAAATTCCTAACAATGTGGCATGTATTCAATATAGTGGCCTTCTGTAGTGTGATGTATGTATTTCTACTCAATTCTAATGTTCCCAGGCTTCTGTGTAGTGTGTGTGTGTAAGGTTTGCCGACGTTGGGGGGGAAAGTCTATCTCACGTCAGAATGAGCCTAAGGGAAACCGCGTATGTAGGCGGTGGCGAAGGAGGCAAATGATGAACAAGTGNTGTAAATATCTATCATAAAGATGAGATGCTAAGCGTGAACGAAACTTTAATTTCATTTCATGCAAACCAAACTGAAATTAATATGTTAAAATTTAACTTGAAAGAATCTTCAATATAAATAAAAAGAAATCAATAAAAACATACCTTAAGTAAACTATTTATTAAAGAAACCTAAAATGAGAGAAATAGAGATTTATATTAGTTTAAAGCAGACTTTTAAAATCTTGAATTTGTAAAATTAGTAATTGAGATTAGTCTAATCATACTAGCTATATATATTTTTGACAATATATAAAATTAAACAATACTGAAAAAATATGTCAAGTATTTAATTAAAATATTATACTTAAACATAGTGTTACTCTTTTCTTAAGTACAAAGAGAAATATGAATAGTTTAGCAAAAAGACAAGTACATAATTTATTTTATTTATTTTCATAAAACTGATATTCTGATTCATGTTTCATATTAGGATTTTTATCCAGATCACACAAGATTTATTACTATTGAAAAATTTCAAAATCAGAGAAAATTATACCCATCTTAATTTTTTTATCTGTAATGCCAAATTTGTTTGATTCTATTAAATGTCACACATAAAATAGCACTTTTTAACCTTTTGTTATTTGCAGACTCCTATTCAAACACAATTGAAGCTGTGGATTTCCTAGTAATTTCAGAACACAGAAATAAAAAAAAGTTAATGAACAAGATGGCTGTGGCTTGTGTTTATGTTCTGAATCAATAATGTGAATGTGAAATCATTGATAAACAGTCATTATCATATTTGTAATATCACAAAAGTTAAGAATACAATAATTGAACTTAAAAAAAAAGGTGATCACAAGCACAGATGAATTTTACATCC